GGAGCAGCCTACTATCATATAATATATACTTTAGAAGTGAACAAAGTTAACTATAACTTAGATCGATTTCAGTTTTTATCTCTTATTTTGATCGCTGTTGTTTAAGCATTATTGTAAGTCAATTTTGTGATCATGCTAAATTAACAAAAGCATTTTGGAAAGTCAGAAGCATAGCATGAGTTTTGTCTAGTTTTGATCTGTTTTTTGCATATTGTTTCTTCTAGAACACTCGCATCTACCACTGTCAATTCTGCTTCTGTATGTCACTTTGTCCACAAGACTTGAAGATACCTTAAAGTCTTCAGACTTTAAGAATGTGTTCAGCATTCTTCTTATATTGCTATAAAATAAAATGCTGAAGAAAAAGCTTTAAATAGAGCTTCAACAACATTAACAAAGAGTTGAGTAATACTTGGGCAGTTAACAAACTGAAATCTTGTGAAAGACTTACTTCAGGCCCATCCTGGTTGGCCTAGGAAAGGCATGGTAAACCAGGATGAACTGAATTTGAATATGTGATTTTTGCCCTTTTCTTTTTTCTTTCTTTCTTCCTTCCTTTTTAATTTAATTTAATTTTGTTTAATTTAATTTTATTTTTTTTGGAGACAGGGTCTCATTCTGTCGCCCAGGCTGGAGTGCAGTGACACAATCTCAGCTCACTGAGATCTCAACCTCCTCCCAGGCTCAAGCTGTTTTACCTCAACCTCCCAAGTAGCTGGGACTATAGGTATATGCCACCATACTCGACTGTCTTACTTTTTAAGAGATAGGATCTCGCAGTCACCCAGGTTGGAATACAGTGGCATGATCATAGCTCACTGCGGCCTCAAACTGCATTCAAGTGATCCTCCTGCCTCAGCAGCGTGCACCACCATGCCCAGCTAATTTTTTTTGTTTTTTGTTGAGACTGTGGTCTTGCTATTTTGCCCAGGCTGGTCTCAAACTTCTGGCCTCAAGCAATCCTCCTACCTCGGCCTCCCAAAGTTCTGGGATTACAGGCATGAACCACTGCACCCAGCCTGCATTCATTATGTATAGTTATATAAACTTCCCAGAACATGGAACATAATTGGTATTCCTCTGTACACAGACTAATGTGAGTTAAGATATGATTACCATTTTGCTATCTTCCAAAGGAAAATTCCCCAAAACAAACACATTTAAAAATATCCATTGTTTTGGAAATGCTCATGATAGTTGAAGTCCTGACTGTGTGAAAATGAGTTTAAAACACAATCATGCACTGCATAATGACGTTTGGGTCAATAGCAGACCACACATATGATAGTGCTCCCATAAGATTATAATACCATGTTTTTACTGTACCTTTTCTTTTAAAATATGTTTAAGTACACAGATACCATTGTGTTGTACCTGTCTACTGTATTCAGTACAGTAACATGCTATACAGGTTTGTAGCCTGGGGTCAATGAGCTATATCATATAACCTAGGTGTGTAATAAGCTATACCATCTAGGTTTTTGTAAAATATATTCTATGATGCTCACACAATGATGAAATCACCTAATGACACATTTCTCAGAACGTATCCCCATCATTAAGCAACACATGACTGTAATTGCCAATTGTTCTAATACAAATGAAGACATAATGTTAAAGTGTTGACATAACATGTTCTACACAATGAGAAATCACAGTTTTCATGGGGTCTGGTCTTTCTTACATATAGAGTTTTACATGTATAGTTCTAGTAGCTCTTATATTTTAGAGAAGATTCCAGAACTTTAAAGATTAGAAATCATCATATTTTTATAAAGTTGTATTTGAAAAAAGAAAAAAAAAACTCCTTTAAGAAGAGCAAGTATTAGCCAAACGTGGTGTCTCACACCTGTAATACCAGCACTTTGGAAGGCTGGGGTGTGTGGATCGTCTGAACCCAGGAGTTCAAGACTAGCCTGGGCAACATGGCAAAACCCCATCTCTACAAAACAATATAAAAATTAGCTGGGCATGTTGGTGCATGCGTGTAGTCCCAACTACCAGGAGGCTGAGGTGGGAGGATCACTTGAGCCTGGGATGTCAAGGCTTCAGTGAGCCAAGATAGCACTACCGCACTCCAGCCTGGGCAACAGAATGAAACGCTATCTCCCCCCTACCTCCCCCCCCACAAAAAAAAGAGGAGCAAGTATCTCTTTTAAAATATTTCAGTTGCATAAAGTGAGAATTCCGCTCATTTAATCTTGTCCCCCTAAGGAAACCATTGATAACATTTTGGTACGTCGCAGTTATCTATCCATTTATCTTCATATGTACATTTATATATGTATTTTTAACAATGATTTGAACCTGTTACCTAGTTTTAATTTGGTTTTGTTTTGGTTGTTATTTGTTGAGATGGTATTCCAAAATTCCTTAACTTTTTAAAACCTTATTTAATAGAGATAAAATTAACTTAATTGAAAGAGAAGAATTATAGGTAAATTGAAGAACTATACTTACTGAATCTTAATGTATAAAAGCATTGGTATCCTTTTTATTGTTCATGTCTAGATGTTGATTTTTATAGCCATGCAGTGGTGTACAGGTGTTTCAGATGTTTCATTTTATGCCGTCCAGTACAGTAGCCACTTGCCACATGTGGCTGTTTAGCACTTGAAGTGTGGCTAGTCCAAATTGAGATGTGCTGTAAGTATAAAATACACACTGGATTTCAAAGACTTTATACAAAAGAAACAATGTGAAGTATCTCATTAATAACTATATATGTTGATTACATGTTAAAATCATAATATTTTAGATAGACTGAATTAAATAAAATATCACATTTAGTTTCACTTGTTTCCTTTTTATTTTCTTTTTGAAATGTGGCTACTAGAACATTTTAAATTATAGATGAAATTTATATTTGTGACCCACTGTTGGACAGTGTTGGTCTAGATCCATCTATATGTCTGTATACTTATGTTTTAGAAACATCACTGTCTTCCCAACAGAAAAGAATAACTTTCAGCCATAACCTCTGATTTTATTTTCTTAACATTTCAAATGCTGTTTTTCAACATCATCTTTTGATTCTTTTTTTTGTTTCCAGTACAGTGGTACTTTAAACTACCTCTCCCTTTGATAGCAGTAAGTCTCCTAGGAATTTAAATATGCCTCAGTGAAAGCAATACTTGAGCCTCATTTATATGTTCAAGTTAGATCATTATTCCTAATAATGGCTTTAAGTGCTTAGATAGATCAGCACTCTGTGTCTTGAATTGCTTGTCATTTCTTCATAAAGATGTTTCAAGTAATTGCTCCATGTGATCCCTTCTTTCATTATTTTATGGCAAAAAGTAACATAATCCTTTATTAGTTTGTTGGAAGTCAGAAAAAAAGGTTCTTTTTTTATTAGCAAAAACAAAATGTATTTCTAGGTACTAAGAATAAAGAATAGTCATGAGGGATAGTCCTGCGAAAGTTAATTTTTAAAATACATCATGAATGCACTGTCAGTCTGCCAGTAGCCTTAACCTCTATTTTATTTTCCCATTATACTTGGGTCCAGGTTGTCATCAGCTACCATGAGAAAACCTATGTAATTCCTAGAGAGAGAAAAAGTTGCACTGTTAGACTTAATAGTATGGTAGTCATGGAAGCATCAGTTATCTTCATCAAGGCAATTCAGATTTGATTATTGTAGAACTGTGTTGAATACCAAACCAGTGGAGTAGTAGCTGGAGCTAAATCAAGGGATTGTCATTTTTGTCAGATGATTAGGGCTGGCTTGGAAGAGATATGAAAGGGTTGAGCTGTGTAAATATTCTCTTTTCAGCAGAAAAAGAAAAGGTCCATCATGGCCATTAAATGCGGCTTGTTAGCTTGATGAATTTCAAACTATTTAACCTTAGCAATTATATCCCCCCGCAACTCCCCCGTGCCTGCATGCAAGTGTATCAGTGTCTTGGAATTATGTCTCCAAGGATTGATATCTAAGCATATTGGTAATTTTCTATTGAGATAATATGCAGCTTTTCCATGTCCACATACGTATCTCAAAGGAAGTGCCTGCTTTTGTTCAAAAACCCAATTATTAACTTGAATTATATGCCCAGGTAAACATGAGAACACATTTATTTATAAGGTTTTAAAAACTTTTTATGGTAAATATATGTAATTTAACATTTTAGAGATTATGGTATTCATTTAAATTATGCTGTAAACATGATTAGTTTTTGTAAAACAGAAGTATATTTGTTTAATTTTCACTTGCCTGTGAGGGACTTGATACATTTAAATAATAGATATGTTTAAATAATAGCAACACATTTAAACAGACACAGTGGACCTAATGATTCAACGACATTTCTGCAATGTTTATAAATAATGCTGCATTCTAGAAAGGGCAGTGTGTTTGCTGCTTTTATGAAAATGTACATCGGTCAATTTGCTTTTGTATTGTAATGGTTATCCTGGTAATATTTGTACTATCTGGCATATTGGCATTTATTAAACTCATAAATAAGGATAGATGACATAGAAATTGCTAACTTTAAAAGAATTGCTGAGTTCTGAAATAACTCATTTTGGAACAAGAAAGTCTCAGTGTGCCATCTAGTGGACACAGTTAGCATTCTAGTCATAAAAAACTAATGATTTTCTCTTCCCCCGAAATGCAGTTACCTTGACACCTTGTGTCTTTCGGTCCCTTGGCATAGTTTGTGGTTGTGTTACATCTCATATAGTTTTTAGATTTTATTATAATTTTATTCATCATATTTTTAGGAAAGTTACATTTGAAAGTTTTATTTTGAAGTCATCAGAAATCTAATGAATAAATCTATGTTAACTATGAGAGAGGAAAAAATAATTTTTATGTTTAATCAAAACTAAGGAATAATTTAATGAAAGCAAAACCCAATCACACTAAATTATTAAACTTTATATTATACGTATTCTTTTCTGAAGGAATATTAAAATAATCATTGCTGTCCTCTTATATGTTAATGGATTAAATCATTTAACTAGCTTTTTAAAAATGTATTTTTTTGTTTTAGAGAAATCCAAGACCAGTGACTTATCAATTCCATCCAAATTTAGATTACTACAAAGCACGAGGAGCCGACCTCATGAATAAAAGCCGGTAAGTCCCCTTTTTCTGGTGATAGTTATAAATCACAAGGGTAGTCTCAGAGATTATCAGGAACTTTTCCACATTGCTGAAAACAATTTTCCAGATTTTAGCATATCAATGGCTAATGTACATAAGGAATCTTTGTTAAATAAATTACCCAAGTTATTTTAAAGGCATAAGAAAATGCTATATATTGACATCAATGGTAAGATGAAAAATAAATATAAGAGTACTTGTTACAATTTGAAGTTAGGCAACTTCATTTTTCTAACATGAATAAACTTGCATAAATTGTGCCTACTTGTATAATCTCTTTCTAGATTTTTGCTGTTGATTGAAAAGAGGCAGCTTTATAATATATTTTTAAATTATTTCAGTAACAAAATTAAAAATGTGTTTCCCAACTGTCTTTAGAACTACACAATAAGCTTATAAATGCATCTTGTGTGTACGTTTGTGATTGCATACATAGAAATTTTAAGGGTCACTGTAGGAATAAAAAACATTAAAATCCTACTTTTCAAAGAAATTAACATTGGCAGAAAGGGTTGATGAACGGTTTTGTTCTTTCATAATACTACATTGAGATGTCTCAAGAGTTAACTTGTCAAACCAGAACCATTTCAAATTAGAATGTAATTTCAAAGTTTACTCTGAAAGACTAAAATGTTAGTAATGATAAATGCTGCCAAGTTGTCCGAATTTTCTTCCTCAAGCATTTTGCCTATGTGTTAGCTTTTCTTCAGTAGAATTCCAACAGCCTAAATATACATTTATGGAATACATATACACAATGTGTTCTGCTGTTACTGGAGAGTTAAAAATAAGTTATAATTCCTGCTGCATAGGAACTCATATTCTAAGGGATAAGAAGAAGTTTACAACAAAATGGCTAAATTTAAACTTGAAATTTGAACCTTGTCTTAGTGTAATGTTGTTATAAAATTAGCCATCTCTGATTGAAATCTGTTTGCCCCATATATTGATGTACTGTGCAATTATGAGACCAGTTCTGTAGCCCATGAGACTTGTCTGAAGCTCTTTTCTGTTTGTTCATTTCATCTGAATCTTGTTACACAAATAAAAATTTATTCGCTATAGTCAGTTGATCATTCAACACAACTGCCAGATTGGTTATTTTAAACACACGAAATGCCCAGTAAAAACCCAGACCAAAATCCCTGCCTTCAGTAATCTTACACCCTAGTCAATTATATTTCTTCCCATTCTGTCAAATATTTAGTTTTGTTATGTTTAAAAGAACAAAGTATGTTAGTCTTTTTCTTTATACAAGACCTTTTTAGCTGGAATCCTTTGTCTTCCTCTCCCTCCCAACCCCCACAAGATTATTTTTTACACAACAGCCAAGTAAATGTCAATTTATAACAGGTTATATCATACCTCTACATAAACATCTCCAAAGGCTTCCTATTGCCCCTGGCAATCTAGTCTTCTTCCTGAAGCCCTTTCCTATCTCTTTGACCTTATCTCCTTCCACTCTCTCCTCTTCACTCTCATGCTACAGCCACATCAGCCTTCTCTGTTTCTTGCCCTTGCTTAGGACCTTTGCACCTAACTCTTCCCTCCTGCTAGAGCTCTTCTGCCACCCGCATCTTCCCATGCCTCTTCATGATTTAAAGCTCAGCCTAAATGTCATCTCAGAGAGGCCACTCTTAACCTCCTTGCCTGTCTTCACCTCCCCTATTCACTCTATCCCATCATCATGAACTGAAGTTATATAATTCATTTGTGTATTTATAATCTGTCTCCCCAACTTCTCCACTAAAATCTAAGCCCCTGAGGGCAGGTATTTTGTCTTACTCACCACTTCATGGCACCTAGGACAATGATGACTGGTATAGGGAAGGCGCTCAACACATATTTGTTATATGAATTTTTTGAAATATTTCCAACACCTTTTTCTCCACCACCGGAAATGTATTGTACCCATTCTTTTCTCCCCTTCTTAATTTTCTTCTCTTTAGCCTTCTCTCCCCACATTTTTCTTGCACAAAATGTTGGTTTTGTTTTATATATTTCCTTGTAAACACATTAAGATTCTTGTGCAAAGTATCTCTTGAAGATTGGAAGGAAGACTTTTTGTCATCCTTTTGCAGTTGCAAAGCTTAACATTGAAATTGAACTAAATAAAATGTAGTAATTGAAGCAGACGTCACAGCTCAGTAAGTAAGGAAATAGTTAATAGACGGTGCTAGGAAAATTGGCAAATCTTTGAAAAAGTATCAGCCACACACAAAAATAAATTCCAAAGTGCACTGAAACAAGCAAACAAAAAATAAAAATGCAAGTGCCTATCTGACCAATAGTTGCTTGAAGACTTTTAAATCTTATTTTTAAATTTTTTTTTTTTTTTTGAGATGGAGTCTTATTCTGTCGCCCAGGCTGGAGTGCAGTGGGGCAATCTCAGCTCACCATAAGCTCCACCTTCTGTGTTCCCGCCATTCTCTTGCCTCAGCCTCCCGAGTAGTTGGGACTACAGGCGCCCGCCACGACGCCCAGCTAATTTTTTGTATTTTTTTAGTAGAGATGGGGTTTCACCGTGTTAGCCAGGATGGTCTCCATCTCCTGACCTCATGATCTGCCTGCCTCGGCCTCCCAAAGTGCTGGGATTGTAGGTGTGAGCCACCGTGCCCGAAATCTTACTTTTAAATTTTTAATTGACAAATAATAGTGTGAAGACTTTTTAACCTTAAAAGTAATGGAGAAAAACACAAAGGAACAACTAATGGATTTTACTATACAACACATATTTTAAAGTAGATAGGTCAAAAATAAAGTGAATCAAAAGACAAATCAAAAATTAGGAAAATATTTGTAGTGGATGTAACTGACAAAATATAATATCATTAATGTATGAAGAATTTAGGCAGTTCAATAAGAAACACAAGATCTGGCCGGGTGCAGAGGCTTACGCCTGTAATCCCAGCACCTTGGGAAGCCGAGGCGGGCGGATCACAAAGTCAGGAGATCAAGACCGTTGTGGCCAACATGGTGAAACCCCGTCTCTACTAAAAATACAAAAAATTAGCCAGGAGTGGTGGCACGTGCCTGTAGTCCCAGCTACTCCGAAGGCTGAGGCAGGAGAAACGCTTCAACCCAGGAGGCGGAGCTTGCAGTGAGCGGAGATCGTGCCACTGCACTCCAACCTGCGTGACAAAGAGAGACTTCATCTCCAAAAAAGTAACACAAGATCCTATCTCAGTGGCCATTCCATCTCTTGCCATGGTCTGCTGAATCCTCTTCTTCCTCCAAATATTAAAACAGCCCCAACCCCACACTTCTTTTCTTCTCTATACTCATTCCTTTGAGGATTTCAACTCAGTTCATGGCCTTACAGACCATCATCTGTGGCTGACGGGTCCTTAATTTATGTCTTCGGTTTTACCCATCCCTTGCTACTTAATAAATATTTTCTCTTGGATGTCCCATATGCAGCTTACATTTAGTATTTTTCAAACAGAACTGTTGATTCTACTCCCACACTCACATGTCTGTTATGCCCACAGTGTTTCTCACAAATAAATACCAAACTTGTTTCTCTTTGACTCCAACCTTTTTCCTTTCTTGGCCTTAATCTGGAATGAGTGTAACAGCTTTTTCTTCTAGTAAATCATCAAACCTAATTGGTAGTCTTGGGAACCCCCCCACGGTAAAGACAAAGGGTAGGCAAAGATTTCTTATACATGAAACAAAAAGCACTAGAAAAGATAGATAAAATGAACTTAAAATTAAGGTTATTTGTTCATGAAAATATGCCATTAAGAAAAAGAACAGGCAAGTCACATACTTGGGGATAATATTTTTAATACATATATCCCAAATATATAAAGAATTTTTGTATGTCAGGAAAAATATAACTTGGGCAAAATACTTGAACAGCCTCTTCACAAAAGAAGATATAAAAATGATCAATATGCTATGAAAAGATGTTCAACATTAGTCATCAGGAAAATGCAAATTAAACCACAATGAGATAACATTTCACACCAACTATAATGGATAAAATAAAATAAAAAATAGACAGTAGCAAATGTTGGCAAGGATGTGGAGCAATTAGAACCCTTGTATATTCCTGATGTGAGTAGAAAAGGTATAACTACTTCGTAAAATAGTTTGGTAATATCTTATGAAGTTAAACATATATCCTATAATATAGCAGTTTAATTTCTAAGGGTTTATCCGAGGGAAATAAAAACACATATCCAAAAGCCACAACAAACAACATCAAAACAGAATGTTCACAGCAGCCTTATTCATAATACCCCAAAGCTGGAAATAACCCAATCTCCGTCAACAAGAGACCAGATAAACAATTTGTGGTACACTCAAATAATGGAATACTACTCAGCTATAAAGGAATGAACTAGAGTTGTCCCTGGGGGAATTGGTTCCAGGACCACCTGCATATACCCAAATCCATGCGTACTCAAGTCTTATAGTCGGCTCTCTCATATAGAAACCTGCATATATGAAAAGTCAGCCTTCTATATACATGAATTTCACATCCCTCTCTCTGCATTTGGTTGAAAAAAATCTGCATGTAAGTGTTCCCGCGCAATTCAAACCTGTGTTGTTCAAGGGTTAAGTATACTGCTATATGCAATAACATACATGCATCTCATAAACATTATGCTGAACAAAAAACACTAGTCAGAGAAGAGTGAATATTGTATTGTTCCATATATATGAAACTCAAGAACGGGCAACTAGCATGTGCTGTTAGAAATCAGAAAGTAGCTACCTCAGGATGAGGGTTTGGAATTGACTCTAAAGGGACACGAAGGAATTTGTGAGTAATAGAAATGTTCATTCTAGGTGTATTTGGGATGGTGGTTATACAGGTATACACAAGTGTCAAAACTCATCAGACTGAACATTTAAGATCTGTATATTATATATAAATTATACCTAAGTTTTGTTTTATAAAAAGAAAAAGATGTATTTGCTCTGGACTAGATAGGAGACAGTGTTACTATTTTACCTAAATT